CAGTCAAGGCAACATAAGTGACCATAGTCAAAACATTATGTTTGACTCAAACGTGCACTTGTGTTTGGAAGTTGTTAGTCTTTGACTGTTTATAGATGGTGCTTAGGGATGTGATGTGACACCAAGGAGTGGGGAGTGACCCATTTTGAGTGGGGGGACCAAGTTGTGCAAGGGATGAATCAAAGTGGTCCAAAAACCCTACTGTAATCGTTTACACAGTCCTGGTAAACGATTACGCGAGAGAAAATCATGTTTTGTACAGAAACTTCACCTGAAATAGTCAGTCAGGGTAACACGGGTGACCATTGTCAAAACCAGTATGTTTTAGTCACATCTGCACTTGTCTTTGGAAGATGTTGGTGTTTGACTGTTTGTAGATGGTGCTTAGTGATGTGATGTGACCCCAAGTAGTGGGAAAGAACCCATTTTGAGTGGAGGGACCAAGTTGTGAAAGGGATGAATCAGACTGGTCAAAAACCCTTGTTGTAATCGTTTACACAGTCCTGGTAAACGATTACGCGAGAGAAAATCATGTTTTGTCACAAATAGAAAGGAGAATTGTGTTGCTTTTACTTGTCATTATTGCATCAGAGGATATAGGAAGGCAGATATTAACTTACGGGGAAAGGTAAAAAAATTCAATCAGAGGCCTATTATTTTATTTATTTATCAACATTTTTTTTTCCATTTATTTAAATCCTCCAGCTGCTGCTACTTTAAACTGAGAAGTATCACTTAAATCATGGGCATAATTTGTAATGAGAATTTGTGTGATTACCTTTTTTCAGAAAGCCACTAGAGCAGTTCTTAAAGGAAGTAGATGCAATCACTTTGAATGATATCTCTAAATTTTCTCAGAAGATTATCACCTCGCCTCTCACTATGGCATCCTATGGGGATGGTAATCTTCAATTAATTAATAATCTAATTCAAGCATTTGGTTTAGTTTCTGATAATGCTGTTGCAATCTGCTTGTCTTGCAGTTATGAATGTCCCAAGTTATGAATCGGTTAGCAGCAAGTTCCATGCAAAATGAAAGATTTTGTAGTGCATCAGGCCATGGCACTCACACATCATCTAGTGCAACGGGTGTTGTAGTGGAAAATGCAAGCTTTATGGGACTAGCTAAAGGTTGGCAAGAAGTGGTGCTCCATCAACTTGGTTAGCTGTGTACAAAATTTGTTGGTCTACTGGGCGATGCAGCTCTGTTGATATTGTTGCAGCTTTTGATAATGCAATATTTGATGGGAATTGTTATTGAAACAATTCTTTCACACTCAATATTATATTCACTGGTTCAAACATTTAATTCTTGAAACTTTTATTGATTACATAATCATCTGGATCTTAAATATTTTGACAGAAATATGTATAAATATTTAAATTGATTCTCAAAAGATAAATAAAAAGTGTTTAATTAAAACTCTTATAAATAAGTTGTTAAAAATTCAGAAGTTTGTCTCTTTTTTTTATGTAAATCGTAAAAGAAATTTAATTACTTATACCACTATTTTAGTTAATAATCAAACAATTTTAAATTTATTAAAATATACATTTTTATTTTAAATATAAAAATTTATTAAATTAACAGTTGCAAATTAAATAAATTAAAAATATTTGTATGATTGTTTCCATAGATAATATTTAATAATTAAAATAGAAAACAACATGAACTTCATTAATGATATTTTTAAGGAATAAAAAGTTAAACAGAAGATAAAAGAATAATTAAAATGCTTTTTTATTATAAAGCATGAAAAAAAAAAGTTAGTTGTAGGTTCTGGCTTCTTTTGCTTTTGTTTCCATCCAATTTTGCAGTAAGACTTATACAAAATTTTGATTGTTAAGGATGAAGTTGATTATAAATGGGTCATCATTGCCTATGTACCAATTATTTAGCTTTTGGTATCAATTTTGCAACAAAAGTTATACAAAATTTAGTTGCTTGGTGATGGAATTGGATATAAATCTTGTTATCATTGTGTTAAGACGACTTCTATGTCCATTAATTTAGAATGCTTAAATTTTCTTTTATTATACCATTTATATAGAAGTCCATGGCCAAGGAACCATATTTAGTAAAACTTATGATGCAGAAACAACTGTGGTAGCAAAGACAAAATAAGTGGGTACTTCAGGCAAATGTTTTGCACATACATGTAACCTACGTAGATGACACTTATTTTGGACTCCTTGATTAATTTTTCATCATTTCTTCAACTTAAAAGTGATGTGAAACCAATTATTATGCTATTTATATAGAATTTCATGGCAAAGGAACCATATTTAGTAAAACTCATGATACATAAACAACAGTGGTAGCAAAGACAAAATAAGTGGGTACTTCATGCAAAAGTTTTGCACTGGCAGGTCAATTACAAATATGACACTCATTTTGGACTGCCTATTTTATTTCTCATCATTTCTTCAACTTAAAAGTGATGTGAAACCAATTTTTATGCCATTTATATAGAAGTTCATGGCCAACGTACTATATTTAGTAAAACTCATGCGACAAAATTGGTACCAAAAGCTAAATAATTAGGGACTTTAAGCAAATGTTATGTACAAGAAATTCAACTATGAAAATGACATTGATTTTGAAGTGGAGAATTAATAAAATAAAAATAGTCAAATTTATTTCAAATATCTTAAATGGTTATATTTTTTTATTTTTAAAATTTTATGAATTTCAATTAAAAATTCTATATTTTTACTATTTTTTTAATTTTCTACTTTTAAATTTTTATAAATATTTAATAAATTTTAATAGGTTTCTATTTTAAAACTCTTATAAATTTCAATTAAAAATTTGAGATTTTGTTATATTTTTAATTTTCTATTTTCTAAATATAATTTTTTATGATTTTAAATGTTTTTTTTATATTTTTTATAAATAAAAATTTATTTATTTATTTATCAAACAAAAACAGAATAATTAAAGTGAATTACAGTAAAATAAAATTCTAGGGTAGAAAATAAAATGACGTGAATAATAAAAATGTGAACAAGGCTAGAAAAGAATTTTATAGGTTTAATGTTTCGGTAGGTCCTTATTTTAGTTCAGAATCTCAAATTGATCATCTTCTTTTTCGGCGTCTCAATTGAGTATTTATTTTGTGAAAATTGCAACAATTAGATTCCTGCCTTTAAATTGAACCAGACGGAGTTAACGTATGGTTGACATGGCACGCTGATGTGGAATTTTTTTTTATTAAACATTGAACTGGGTCAATTTATCACCCTTGACACATCATCATCTTCTACCCCCAAAAAGCCTAACCTTTTCCCTACCATCCATCGTCGGACCACTAGTAGCAAAGATGCCGCAAATCGCCATGGGGATCCTTCATCACCTCCACCACAGATAACATCGTCGGACCACGACACTCATATTCTCCACCATCAATAACTCATCGTCGGACCACTGCGAGATAGCCATGAATCGCGCCACCTTAGAGATCGTCCAAAATCACCATGTCGCATCGCCTCCGCCAGACCCTAAGTCGTCGCGACTACTATCTCCTCCGCGAGAGGCCACCACACTCGTGCTTCACCACATCAACGATGGCGTCTTCATTCAAAAGCATCAAGCCACCTTGCCACCGTCGCCTAACTCTAATCCGCTGCAAGCTGCTGCATTTCCCGCCACGACGCAGAAGCGCTTCAGTGCCACCATCAACCTCGCGAAGGTCATGCGCAACCCTCAACGTTTCACCATCATCAACCGCATCAGAAACCTACAGAAGAACCCAGGATTCGCAAAACTCCATTGATGCACGAAGCTTCAACCTCCATCGCAGAAGACCATTTTCGTCTTCTTCAACGCGTCGCCGCGACACAACTCCGTCACCTTCGCCAAGCCCAAACCTACAAACCACAAAATCAGAAAGAGCTCATCCTAAACCCTAATCGCGATAAACCCTAGCTTGTGAAACGCCACCATCAACCTCATTTTCAGCCGCAAGCCTCCATGGCCACCATGCCACAACAATAACCATGACGCCACCCAAACACCATTGAAGCCTCCATGGAAACCCTGCAAATAAAAAAACCACAAAGCCACCAGAGAGCCATCTTCGAGCCTTCAAATAACAAAATGAGAGACCCTTCGCATTCACTATTGGCCACCGTGAATGAAGGGGCGAAACCCTGATTCTAAAAACATCTTCCCCAATCTGCAGAATAAGAAGTGGTGTAATGGAGATGCCCGCAAGGGTTTCTTTGCTTCGTGATTTCTGTGTGTGTGATTTGATTAATGGTGGTCGCAAATGGTGAGAATTTCGCAGAGGAAGATGATAGTCGCAATGGCTGTGGCAACGTAGAGGAGATAACGACAATGCTATGATGGTTGCCAATTTTATTTTATAAAAAAAATAAATAAAAAAGATATGTCAGAATATATTGAATTCCATGTCATTTTAAAACGAAGCTCAGCGTGCCATTAAACCAATTTTATATTATTATCCAAGTTAGCTTCAAACTACAAATTGAGACAATAATACAAATTTTGGATAGTCAATGAAATAAAAAAAATTTAATAAAATCATTAATGATATATGTTAACAATGATGTCGTCAATTTAATAACAAAATTGAAAACTCAATCAATATATATATATATATATATATATATATATATATATATATATGTATGTATGTATTTATTGTAAACATCCATGCAGAACGAAGACAAAGAGTGACATTTAAAGTTGCAAAATTATTGATATGGAAATATTCCAGAGTAGTATTTCTCGGATAAAATCAAAAGGAGGTGAAAACAAACTAAAATGTAGAAGCACTTGTGTGCAATGCTACTAAGGAAGCATAATCACCTTCCTTGCTCAGTAATGCTTCATGTGTTCCCTTTTATGCTATCATACCATTTTTTATTACTACAATTAAACTAGCACCCTTTGTAGTGGATAGCCTGTGAGCCACTACTATTGTGGTTTGATTCACCATAAAGCGCTACAGTACATCTTGAACCAATTTTTCAGATGCATCAAATGCACCAGTGGCCTCATCTAATAGTAATATTTTTTGTATTCTTCACTATTCTCGTGCAATTGTCACCCGTTGTTTCTGCTATCTAGATAGTTGAATCCTTATTTCCCCTACTATTGTGTCATAATCCTGCACATACAAATATTGACAAGACCAATGCATACATTATTCATAATATCTTACGGTGTCTTAAAAAACTAGTACAAATTCTGATTTTTGTGCATATGGTTGCAATGTGAGGTTATAAGACACCGTACATTACATTTTATACACATTTGCTTACCATTTCAAAGATGTTAGTTACAATATATAGATACAGGCTATATGAAATACAAGAAGATACAATAAGTGCGTTAATAAAACATCACAAGGCAAACTGTGATTTTCATAAGAAATAATCGTTAACAAAAAAATTAATGGCAAAGAATTATTGACAAAATTGAATCTATGTCCATGGTATCTTAAAGCAAAGACTAACCTTAGCTACAACTTTCAATGGATCAACATTCTCATATCAGAGTTGATGTAGTTGCTCATATGTAACAACTTTTGATAATCTCCAAGTTCAACATAAAGCCTTGCAAGAAGACCTCTAAGAGTAACATCTTTGGGATCTGCTGTATTTGCTTTTAAACCATAATGTCATGCTTGATCAATATAACCTTGTTCTCCACATTTGGGAAAGTTTCACAACTCAATAATCATAATATTTATTTCAACATTGTTTAAAAGTAATATATGCATAATATTTCAAGGCCTAGATGAAATTTTAACCATCATAACAATTGAGGTAGGCGTATAGATTCATGTAGCCAAATTATTTCAAAAAAACAACTTCACACAAATAACAGAGACAACAAAACTAAGAAGCCACCTCACATGGATCAGGTAAACATCCTTTTCCAAAGAGATTAATCTTTAGGATTCAAAGGAGCAACAATTAGGTAAAAACTCATTGCTCTTTTATAATCCTAGAGTGAACTACAAACAAGTAGCCCTTCGACCTTCAAACCAATAATTAATTGAGAAAAATTGTGAAAACAAATTTATTCACAAGACAAACCCAATTATAAACACACTAAGTCATTTATCAGAAACATAGGATTAACTACCCATACCAATTAATACACTTAATAGAATTAAAACATCAACCCCTAATTTCTTTTTCTAAATGAAAATAACTTAATAACACAATAAAGGAAAACCAAAATGAATAACGAAAACTTACCATCTGTGTTTTTTCGTCTTCAATTGTGATTTTCGGATATAACGGTGCTTCCAAATGGTGGTTGCAGAGAAACGAACGATGGAAAACTTCAAAACCCATGTTAATGGTGGTTTCGACCT